ATACAAACATAGGTGCATCTGCACAGCTGTAGACTAAGGATGTCAATTCCAAATATTGACAATTGAAAAAGATACCAAAATTACTATCTAAAGGTTGTAAGTTAATTTACATAATTTCCAACATGATGTAATATTATTGTAAGATACTGACAGTTCCAGAGGAAACCACCTCCTGCATTTCTATCATGCAAATAAGAACCTAGGCAAGCTTTTTTTACGTGTTGGGACTATGTATCTGGAAAAACTTACAAAGTAAGTTCAAGTATTCAAGTATTAAAGGAAAAAAAACTTACACTACGGAGATTGTATTCAGATTCATAAAACATTCATAAACATCATTTGTACATCAAGGTATCAAACAAATGATTGTTGCCTAGGCCTTCTATGTCATTGGCTAACATTTACTCAATTTTTCACAAAATACCTAGGGTTTCTATGCCACTGGCTAACGTTTACTCCGTTTTTCACAAGTGGTTTCTGGTGAATACATATTGGCAATTGAAAGCAGCTGAAGGAAAAGAAACTGATTTGACAACTACTACCTTAGTAAGGGTCAAAATGTTTAGATGAATGCTTTGCTTTCAATACACACATGCAAAAAGTAATGTTCCAAAATGGAAAGTATCATCAATAAAGAGACAGTGTTTTCTTGACCTTGGTAGGATTACAACAACTTAATACTACTCTTCCTATTCCTCCTCTTCTTACTCCACTCTGCTCCCCAGGTGCCACAGCTTAGAGAAAGTTCTCCCAGTGAAATTACAATATTACTGTCCACATCCACTGGCTTGCCTTTGTTAACTGGATGGGTGACSGTCATATAAAAGGAAATTAAATTTGTCAAGGACTTTCCCCTCATGAGCACCCACTGGTTTTGACTGCATTGTCTTTCCATTGTTCTTCAATAACATCTGGATAACCCTATCCCTAATTTTACCAGGCACAGAAGTGGGATGATAGTCCTGTAATTACCAACCCTCCTTCTCACCTTTCTTGAAGACTGGGACAGTATTTGCCACATGAAGTTCTCTGGGACCTTTCAGAGCTCCCAAGGTAGTTGAACAGTAAGGGAGAGAGGTCCTGCAGTAACATCTGCCACTCCTTTCAGTGCATGGGGATGAATCTATTGGGGCCCATAGATTTATGCACATCCAGCTGAAGCAGCAAGACTCAAACAAGTTCAGAGTCTGCTGAGAAGTTCATCATCCCTCTAGTCATGGCCTTCTAAGACAGACCTGTGTGGATCCCACAACCTGTGTTGAAGACAGAAGAAGGCATTAAATGTCTCTGCTCTGTCTACATCCCTATTTGTCAGGTAACTGACTTCATCAAGTAATGGACCAGCTATCTCTGATTTTTGTAAGTTTGTTTCACTTTCTTAAACACTCTACATAGCTCAACCATAATGTTARATGATTAATACTTTAGTATCTTCTGTTTTCCCATCACTAATGACTCAGCCTTGAACAACTCGAGCAATACAACTTGCATAATCTTCCAAGCCTATCTGCTGAAATACCCCCATGAAGCTAGAATGTATACATGATCTAGCAATAAAAGTTTCACTCACTGGCAGATTTAGCCCACGGAAGAGATCAGTGTCTTTCCTGGGGAATGTTCATTTGAAGTGAAAATCAGCAAAGTGACCGACCAGCTCATCTCTCCATTCTCCCATGTAATTGAGGTGCTTGAACAAGAAAAGTTTCCATTTACTATTATTTTTGAATCCCAGTCTAATTCTGGTTGCATTCATGTAGAGAAGCCCCTTTTCTGGTTACACTCCACATTAACTATGCCCCTGAGTAACAAGAACATTTGGGAAAAAGGGGTATTCCTTCTTTGTGACAAAGAGCTGCAAAAATGTTTCCTATGAAAAGTACATTAAAAAACTACTAACAGACATGTTTTTTGTTTGTAAATATCTGCTCTGGGGCAAGGTAATTTATTAACTATATGTCAAAGACAAATCAACCTGGTTATTTCCTMATGACCTACAAGTCAAGGAACAGGCCATATGCAATAAATGCACCCTTTCCCATTTRAGCAGAAAAATATTCTTTCTCAAAACAGAACACACAGTGCTGCATCCCCTCCAATCCAATGCACAAGTAAATATTTTAAGTATTCCAGTTCATTACATTACATATTAATATTTAAAAATACTAGATTCTGGAGCATAAGATAATGCTGGGAAAAAACCTACATCTTTACATAAATTAATTATTTTTTCACTGCTGGAAAAAAAACCTACATCTTTATATAAATTAATAATTTTTTCACTGCTGGAAAAAAAACCCTACATCTTTATATAAGTTAATTATTTTTTCACTTGTAGAAAAAATATATATGCTTGGCACTGCCATCAAGCATTTCAAACATTCACAAGAGACCACTAAAAACTATTATCTGCAGCTTTTTTTTCCTATTTTATTCAAGCTGCAGTATATTTAAAAAACAAAAATCAAAGCTTTATATTTATATTTCAATTAAATAAAATCAATGTGAACAACAGGCACTGCAGTGGTAATAATATCTTTTTCTGGCTTCTCTGTAACTTGGTTGTCATTACTGAACAGATTGCATAATGTAAAAATAACTTATTAAATGTGAAAAAAGGAACTATTACTTCTCAGAACAAAAAATAGCATTTGCAATGAACAGGTAAGTCTGGCAAGTTTGTCACCTGAACAAATACTACCTTTCAATGCAGAGATAGTAAATCCAGTGGAACTCAAAATACAACTTGTCAGTCATCTAAATCTTAAAATATAAATTTCATTTTCTGGTCTTGTTAGACATCACGGTCTTAAACAGCATTTGTGTTTTCATATTTTCATCCCATTTCCATTTGTGTAGATGAAAGCCCACATTTGTTTCCRCACCTACCTTGACAAATTCACTTGGAAAACTAACATCAGTGGTAAATGTTCTAACACATCAAACTGCTGTAAGATACAGAACAGTTTGRGCCGGAAAGAAACTTTAAAGGYCATCTAGTCAAATCCTCTTACAAGAAGAAACATCTTCGACTAGATCAGGTTGCTCAGAGCCCCATCTAACCTGACAGGCATAGAGCAATCACCAACTCTGGGCAACCTGTTCCAATGTTTCACCACCCTCATTGTAAAGAACTTCCATATGTCTAGCCTGAATCTATATAAACTATTATCCTTTGTCCCACCACAGCAGAGCCTGCTAAAAACTCCAGCCCTGTCTTTATTAGCTCCCTGCAAGTACTAAAAAGACACTTTAAGGTGCCCCTGCAGTACTTTATTCTCCTCTCYTGACTGAGTAACCCGAAGTTGCTCAGTCTGTCTTGGGAGAGGTGCTAAAGCGGTCTGATCATCTTCACGGCCCCTCTCTGGACTCAAATCCAATACGTACATGTTGGTTTGTGCTGAGCACCCAAGAAGCTAGAGTTCTTCAGGTGGGGTTTTGGTACTGGGGGTTGCCCTGACCSAGGAGAAGCACCTTGCCCTAGATCTTATTGAACTTGCTGAGGTTAGTGTGGACCACATTTGCGAGTCTGTCCAGGTTCGCCCAGGAAGCATCCGGTTCTTCAAGTGTGTCAACTGCACTGCTTGACTTGGTGTCATCTGCAAACCTGCTGAGGGTGCACTTGATTCTGCTATGTGATTGATACATTAAATGGTACTGCTTCCAATATGAATTCCTGAGGGACACAGTTCATGCATCATCGATCTCCATCTGGACACTGAGCCACTGGCCACCACCCTCTGGAAGCAACCAACCAACCAAATTCTCATCCACTTAACAGCCCAACCATCAAACACATCTCTCTCCACCTTAGATCCAACTAAACACTATTTTAATCTAACCTCTTCCTCTGCTTMTGCTAGCCACAAATTGAAGTTTAAAGGACTACAGCGGATACATCCCTTAAGACATTAAGTTGTAAGAACTAAGAGTATATTTTATGTCAAGGTTAGTGGTTTTCAAACCTTAGAAAACTACGTAGCCAAGAGAAATGTGCACCTTCAACTCCAAGCAGCATTGGTTCACAGAATAAGGAAGCTTCAAGAAGAGCCTCCCTACCACCCCTGGTGCTGAAAATTAATTCTGAGTGAAATCTAATCTAAGATATATTGCCTGATTAAGTCACACAATTAAAAGAAGTACACAGATTTCCTAAAAGAAGGTTCAGGTCTATTAACATAAACCAAATTAAAAAAAGAAATAGTTAACAGTTTCTGCAGCAAGAAAACCAAGAGTTTCAGGTCTGCATGAACATGCTCATTTTTTCTTGTTCTTATCCTAAGTCTTCAAAACCAGTAAATCCCAGTAGCCAGGAACACACATTGTTTACATAGTAATTTAAGGGCAGACCAAATACCACTCCATGCTTTTCAGTTACAATMGTTAAGATTTAGGTAGAACTTGCAAAACTGTTCTAGATATTTTTACCACTGATATCCACCTTTCTGTGCCACACATAAGCAACTTAATTTTGCAAGAAATCCCTATTACATCTAAAACAAATTCCAGGCCTGGGGGAAAACACAAGTTACATAACAGGTTAAGAACAAAGTTCTACCCTACTATCATACCACACATAGTCAACGGCCTCTGGCACACCTCTTTCCAATGTATTCATGCTGAATTAGCCCTGCCTGAAGTTAAAATAAACCATTATCCCAGTATTCAAACACATACTGACAACAATGCAGACTCAAATTGCATCTACTGTGCATTGAAAGTAACAGAATTATAAAAAAATTGAACTTTGATATTTAGCTTGAGTATTTTCTTGCTGGTGTGCTTTTTATTACATTAATTCAATTTTAATTAATTCCCCTTCAGGAGAATTACCCATTTTCTATAAAATTATAGTTCATAAATGTATATGCATCATTAAAAAAATTAAACTAATAACTATTTCAATGTATGTAAGCATGCACTTCTTTAGTCATTCTGTTGCGTCCTGTGAATTCATAGAAATCTTAAATGGAGGAGGATGAAGCAGGGAGAGAAAAAAGCCAATGCAGACAAAGTGTTAACAAATGTGTATGGTATTTTATTCTTATTTCCAAGGATGTGAGAGTGGATATTAACTTTAGATAAGGACAGTGATACCTTAAAATTAGACAAACCTCAATTACTTTCTGGTAAATAAAAACTGAAAACTGTGTTGACTGTTGACAGTACTGGACACACAACGGTAGTGGGTTGATGCTGGGCAGGCATCAGGCACCCACCAAAGCTGCTCTTACTCTTCTCTGCTGAACAGGGAGAAGAAAATACAACTGAGGGTTCCTGGGCTGAGATAAGGAGAGATCACTCATCAAATACCAGCAAGGGTAAAATAGGCTCAACTTAGAGATATTAATTAAATTACTAAATAAAATTAGAGCAGAGCAATGAGAAGCAAAACAAACCCTTAAAAACACCTTCCCCCCACCCTCCCTCCTTCAGAGCTCTATGCAAGTGGCACAAGGAGACAAGGAATGGGGGTTATGGTCAGTTCWTGACCTGTGGTTCTTCCACTGCTCAGGGAAGAGTCATTCCCCTGCTGCACAATGGAGTCCCTCCCAKAGGRGACAGTTCTCCATGAACTTCTTCAATGTGAGTCCATCACATGGACAACAGTCTTCCCCAACCTGCTGCAGCAGTGAGTGGGTCTCTTCCACAGGGTGCAGTCCTTCAAACACAGGCTGCTCCAGCCTGGGAGCAGGACCYCTCCTCCAAGGGTCTCCCACAGCAGTACAGCCTCTTGTGAGGCAACCATCTGCTCTGGCCTGGGCTCCTCCATGGACTGCAGGGACACAGCTGTTGCACCATGGYTGCACCATGGGCTGCAGAGGAATCTCAGTGCCTGGAACATCTCCTGCCCCTCCTTCTTCACTGACCTCAGTGTCCACAGGATTCTTCTCACATGTTCTTGCTCTGCTCCTTTCTGGCCACAGTTACAACTGTGTAATATCTTTGTTATCCCCATTTCTAATTGGCCCAGTCTTGGCCAGCACATCTGTCTTTGGAGCCATGGGGGGACTGGCGCTAATGGACATGAAAGAAGCTTGTAGAAGCCTCTCACRGCAGCCAGCTCTGCAGCCCCCCACCAGCAAAAGTCAGGCATGTAAACCCTTSAGAAAACATGTAACACTAAAATAAAACTTTAAAATGGAACTATTTGAAAAATATTGCATGGACAATCTTGAATAYGTCCTTCTCTTTCTCTGTCTTCAGTAATCAAGCCTATTCATTAACACAGTTTAAAGAGAGAACTTCAACATAGAGAGGCTTATTTTGAAAGTCACTATTTTAAGAAGGGAACAGGTCATATCTTTCAAGTCCACAATTGTGACAATTTGTTGTGATGGGTGTCAGTAATTCAAATCTGTTTCAATGATCTCTGCAAGACCATTACTTTTATTCTCTTCTAGACACCTATCTCTTTTTTTAGTAAAAGTAGCAAACAGTGTATCCATCATTCCCAAAACTTCGAGTAGTTCCTCTTGATAGTCAATTTCTTTTCCAATAGCTTCCTGAAGTTTCAAGAACTGTTTATCAACAATGGCTGACTGCCCAACCACAGGCTGATAAATGTCTGTAAAGAAAAATATCAGTTAACAATCTATAGATGTGTAACAAGGTATAAATTATATTAGCTAATTAGAGACACTTTTAAGGTTCTCAGCACAAGTCCAACATTCTAAAAAAATAAGATAACTTTAATGTTGAGAACAGCGGTTGTATATACTCACAGCAGCAGTATGTTAAACTGACAGAAAACTAAGTTTTTGCGACCTCAAGTACAATTTTTACCTCATAAAATAAGAGGAAGTTACTTGTACCAGGTAAGCACAGAAATACAAAGTATCAAAAATACTTAGGAGACCAGGAGGAGCTTCCTGCAGCAYCTGCAAATCAGATACTGTGATCAAAGTTATCTGAAAATATCTTTTTTGGATCATTCTCTTGACACTAAGTCCACACTTAAAAATAAACCATAAAGGTCTGGTTTCTTAAAAATGTAGCAATTTCAATCTTATTCCTGAGCTAGCTATAGAGCTTTGAGAATCTTTTTTGTATTGTCCTTACCAGTGATCATATCTGCAACAGTCACCAGCACAGRAGTAAATCTAGGTTCAATCACACGCCTGAAAAATTAGAACACATTCCAATTTTACTGGTTTTGTCAACTGCACTCCTACCACCAATAAGAAGCTTCCTCACACAGACACACAGACAAATCTTTCTTGACAAAGAGACATCACAGAACAGCAAAGATGCAAGTCAAAAAAACCTCATATATATGTCTTCTTTTCAGGAAGACGGTGAGGGCTTGAGGAGTGGCAAAAAGCCTCAAGTACACAAAAACACAAGTTTCATCAAGGAGATGGAAAATAACAGACTAAGAGTAGAAGGTCTGGSAAAGAAGTAAAATATCTCATAGTATCAGCAAAACTGTTCAGTGCTAACAGGTARACTGTTTCAAATCTATCCCAAAACCTTGGTATCAGAATGGAAATGGCATGTGAGATTTGAGGAGTATCAGTATTCTACCTGTGATACGTTGAAACTCTGTGGCAAGTTATTAGAAAATAAAAGTCAAAATAGTCAGAGGGAACTCATGTTAAAATAATACCTTGCCACAAATGTAAGCAGGAGATTAACTTGCTTCTCATCTCGGCCTGCAAGTGCACTTCTCAGTGTTCCTCTGCGATGTAGTTCCTGCATGACTGCAACTGTGACTTCAGGAGTATGAAGCATGATGGGTGGCTGGACACATAGGAAAAGAGTTTAGTAACAAAGCAACATCTTTACACACAACAAGGCTGATATCAGCAAAACCAAAATGGAACCCAACTTAGAGTCCTTTCTAGTTATACACTAAAATAAAATTAGTATGATATACAGAGAAAATTCACATCAGGTGACCGCACACAACTCTGAGAAGAAAATGGCATACCTCCAATACAGCATCAAGAGCCTTGGAAGAATGAAAGCTCCTCAGCAGCTTGTCATATTTCCTCAAAACACGTTTTACAGGTTTACTGACACAGAAATCTTCCTAGAATTCAAAACAGTTCAGAACAACACAAATACAAACACACATAATGGATCAGATTATTACCATGAATAATCTTACATATTCCCTCCCATCCCTTTCTCCAACTTAGCACATTCCAAGAAATGTCACCAATTTTTTGGAAATGTTTCAGCACATATTTTCTTACCACCTCATACCTGTTTCGGCATGTAAGTTCTTCCTTTCACRTAAGTTCTATATGCTGGTTGTCTCTTCTTTTGAGACTTTTCATTCTTTTCTTCAGGTTTTCTGTGTTTAACATTCAGCACCCCATTGGTCATGCCTACAACTATGGTTTCGTCTTCAGGCTAGAATGAAGAAATCACAGTTAGGACCCAGTGTTTTATTTGGTGCTCCATCATGCACATTTCYATGTTTTTTTTTCTTTGTGATAAGGCTCAAATCACACGGTCAGAATGACTTCAGGTGGAAGACACCGCTAATCAAATACTTGGCTCAAAACAGGAACAGCTTCAAGGTCATGGTCATAAGAAACATTACAGACTGACTAGGAAATCAAGCTGAATTGCACATTAACGCCCTTCTGTAAGTATAAGGTTCTGCTTTTTCCARCGGCATACAGCTACCTTTGGCTATTACAGCAGGCATGAACAGAACCTATGAGAAAGCAAAGCTACTTTGATTACAGCATRATTTCAATAAAAATTGAAAGTTGTTGAAAATACCAGTCACTGGAATATGTAATTTTCCTTACATAACAAAGTACATACAAATTTCACCCAGAAAAGTTGTGAATGTCCCATCCCTTAAGTGTTCAAGGCTAGGCTGGATAGGGCTTTGAGCAATCTGGTCTAGTAGTGCCCTTGCCCAGGGCAGGGAGGCTAAAATTAGATGACCTTTAAGGTCGCTTCCAATCCAAGCCATTCTATATGATAAAAGCCTACAGAATTCTGACAGGTACAAACGGCGATTAGCTGGTCAATGGCTCATAGAAGGGCCGCAATGGAAGCTAATGAATGTGGGAAAAACAGGAACCAATTCTGCACACAAGTATCAGAAATGTGGAACTCCTTATCAAGGAATCTATGCAAGGTTTCAAGTTGTCCAAACTTGAGGAGAAACTGAATAGGCTTAAGTAATAGAAATTTGTAGATTTACATGGAAACTACACTCTGATGAGGCAATTTCTCATCTGAAAATGAGTTTGGAATTTGAGAGAATATCAAACTTATCACATACACTTGCCCTGGGTTTAGTTTTCTATACACATCTACTTCTTGCTATAGTTGGAAGCAGCATGTGAAATTAGACCCACCTTTGGTTTGATTCAGCAATAATTATAAGCATTATAATTATCAGGTTATTATAATGTTCTCATGTGAYCATTTAAAATTAAAATGGTTTAGTCAATAGAAGACAAAAGATTATGTTTCAAAAGATGTATTATACATGCTCTAGGGATGCTAAACTACAAGTGTCGCATGTTTTGCAGATCCCATAGGGTCTTATGAGGCTTTTATAGTGTTCACCTCAAAAGGAAAAAAATTCAAGGTAATATGATAGGAAATGAAGAAAGGAAGACATTCCCCACACACATCTTCCTCTACAGCAGAGCAGGACAATAGCAAAGTAGCAAAGGTAATAAAGATCCCTCACAGCCCCCTTCACATATCCTTCAGAGGCTACGTAGTGGGTTGACTACAAGACAACAGAATTGTTTAAGAACTGATTGTAGCCTCCAAGCTTGAGGCCAGCAGGTCACTTATCCACTGGAATGCAAGCACCTCAGAGAAGAACAGTCTCTGCTGTCTGCTTCCAAGAAAAGTAAGACACATGCCTTGACAAACAAATTCACTTATGCTCACACTTCATGGCTTCTTATTCCTCAGACCAACCTGATACCAGCAACATTTAAAGCAAGTGCACACCATATTCTAATAAATTTTTCTACAAATCTAACTACTTTTTCTTTATTGCTACCATGCAGAAGGTCTCAGTGTTCCTGAAAAGCAAAAGGCAAGTACAATCCTCCTGAAGTCAAAGGACCTCCTTTCTGAAGTGAATACTTTCCATATGATGTACACTGTAATTCATGAACACATTATTTTGTACAAATATAGCCAGGTAATATCTGGTATTTGAATGTATTATGTTTAATACCTCTTAGTGTTTGTTACTTGGAGAAATACACTTGACAACCCTACTCTGCATGTATAGCACTCTTCTGGAACACCCAACAGCCAAGAAAGCAACAATTATTTACTTTAGTGACTTAACAGGTATCAGGAATTATGTCGTCTAGGAAGACTTCTAATGGACCTACCGACAATGCAAGACTGAGGATGGACGTTGCATAGTTGAAGCTGTGGACCACTTTGTAGGATGTAGTACTGTAAATCTTCACATGCCTGTACAGTATAAAGAATAAAGACAAAAACATTGTTATGCTTTTCTGTAGTCACTTTACAGGAACTCCATCACTCTCATCTTCTACAGGTCTCTTGAGGAAACTGAGTATTAATACAATGCATTACTCAGACAAATATTGAGCTTCTGAGGTATTACTCCTCCTGCAACAGAAACATTCTGTTAGAAGATATCCACAAGTCAAGCCAGGATTGTTCCTATCCCAAAAAAAGATGAAAATGTGGCAAGGATAGAAGAAATGAAGGCAGATGAACTGACTATCTGACTTCAGAAATGCGTATTATGGAAACACTAAGACAGCGTATTTTCCAATTTGTTCTTATATTTTAAATATAAGATCTATTAGCAATTTCTGGGAGTACATCCACAAATATTCTTGTATCCAGCTGTCCCTTATGGATTTGGTTGGCAGTGTCAAATATTGAACAAATTGGAAAACAACATGTTATCTTATAAAGATAAACTTTAGTATTATGTAATCACAAAGACTGGGAAATGCAGGATGGAGGAGGTAAACCAACCACTATCATTTCAGACCACTTTGTATTCTAATGCCTCAGAGACAAGAGACCAACTATCAAAACAAACAAAAAAAGCAAAAAGGTCATGTTCATTTACACTCACGGGTACAAGAAGCAACAACAGAGAGACACAAAACCCAGACTTTTTAATGAATACTAATACACTTGTAGCTATTCAGACTGTATTAAAGTTAAGAATAGTTAATTTACAGACTGGAAAAGTCAGTTTGGAAATTCAAAAAACTAAACACTTAATCAGAAATTCCTGAATAACACATGCAATCCTTACTGACATTCAGATTAGTAAGAGGAAAAGGTTAAGGTGCATTATGGAATCATTGTACRGTTTGAGTTGGAAGGGAYATTTTAAAGCTCATCTAGACTAATGCCACTGAAATAAGCAGGAACAGCTTTGCAGTCGGTACTGTGGCCCCAAAATGTGTTCTCAAATAAAGTCTAAAAAACACACAGTCACATGTATTGTCTTTCAAAGAAAGTAAGTTCTAAAGCATGCAAACATAATGAAGTCAGAAAATATACCAACCTGTCCAGGGATCCTGACAACAACCTTTGGCCAGAGCTGTTCAGGCACAAACAAGTTACAGTTTTATGGTGATTCTTAAGTGAAACTAGCAACTGTCCGCCTTTTAGTACATCCCAGACTTTGACATATCGACCTCCTAAGAAGAAGGAAGCACACAAAACATACTTAGATATGTACACATTTATGCTTCTCTATAGTAGTTTTCACAGAATGATGCAGTACAYCCTTCACAGGTACCTTTACTCCCTAACAGTTTTCTGTACCTTCTCACCATCCTCTTCCATTCTATCTCCTGGCATAAGACACATTAAAAGCCTGCTCTTTTTCAGGTTATTCTGAATTGAGCTGAATGATTCAACCATTCTCCATCCATACTCATTACCAAATAAAAAATCTATGAACTATGGGTTTACAATACTCCTGATGCAATGATAAGAAGAGACTAAAAAATAAGAGAAAGACACAATCCCATCTTTTCAAAACTTAAGTATGTTAATTCCTTCACTTTAGAAGTGGGTCAATCAGAGTCTGCATTCTCATTTTCATTAAAAATGTCTTTTGGTTGAGGGGGTAGCAGGGGCAGCAACTAGGAGAATATTGAAGACAAAAAGGCAAGATTCCAGCTTGCACCTTCTAGATAAACACAGATTTCTAAAGAAGATATTTGAGAAATCCAAGTGCTAAGTAACTTACCACTYCATTACTAAATTAAGACACCACACAAAAAAAAAAGCAGCTGAAGTATATCACAAATTAGAACCACAGAAAATAAATTTTATTTATTTGATTTTATAGAATTACCTGCAGATACTAGAAGTCCACCAGAAGGGAAGAGAAGCACACTCTCCACAGGATGGCCGTGTTCTATTGTCATGACACTACTTTTTGTTCGTGCATCAAACAGTTTCACGGTGTGATCATAGGAACCTGCAAACATCACCATAAACAGCTTCAGTTTTATAATTTCACATCTTTCAAGAACTAAAACAGCCATGCCCTACCATCTAAAGGAGATCCTGGCTAACARCAATAGTTTTAAATCACACATGTAMAAACAGGTTGTGGTTCACACTGATTAGTTTTACAGCCCTTGGGCAACATAAATCTTCTCATTCTAGTTCTAGCTACATGTCAATCTGTAAAAGTAATTTGTTGTAATTTCACTTTGTTTCTATTAAGCAAATGTATTTACAACAACAAATATCAGACAACCTGATAAACCTAGCTTCTTGYATCTCCTGAAAAAAGGAATACTAGRGTTTTTACACAGTTTTCCATCGACTAAAACAAAGTAYTACTAGGAAAACAAATGCACCTGGCTCCACATAACTCCTCACATGACTTCATATTTTTGAATCTTGACAGTTTTGGGCTGTACAAACTACAACAGAACTAGTGTGCTGTTCTAGAAAGCTCGTAAAACATTTCAGTCACTCCTGGACAAATGATAAATTCACAGTATTTTCTTAACTTTCAGAAGTTAACAGAACAGTTCTGTTAACCCTAATAGGCTGAAACAAAAAGATGTTAAATCTCAGTTCCTGCAGTTTCCCTAAAAYATCAGTGTCAAGCTCAAAACAGCAAGCAAAAAAAGGAAACAAACTAGGCATTGCACAGGCAAACTGGTCCTTCATGATTAACATACAATAAACAAGATMCTGTTGTATCAAAAATTACCTTCGTACATTTTCTTCAATTCAATCCAAAAGAAGCATAAATAAAATATAAAATCAAACCTGTTATGAAGACATCTGCATTCACTTTACTTGCACAGCCGCATCTCACATAGTCAGTATGTTCATTATATGAGATTATTTCAGTGGCACTTGGAATATCCCACAAATTTGATGAATAATCATCACCACCAGAAAATATTCGGTATTTATCAGACAGGAAACCCACGAGATGAACTGGTCTAGAAAACAAAGCCCATGTTATCCAAAGTTAAAATATGCTCACATTTCATTCTGTATGAAGAATTTATTAAAGTRCTCTAACTTAAATGTGCAGTGTCTTATATCAGAAGTTACAAAGCCTCACTTTACAGATTAAAACACTTTCGTTCTTATAGTTCCGGTAGGAAAAGATCATGCTGAAAGATGCTTACCTAAGCACTGATATGATATGTCCCAAATGTGGTATGTCTTACAGGTCTACTAGAGGCTCATTCAGAAGCTTAATTCTGCATTTGTGATTTAAGAGGACAGTAGTTAGCACTGTCCTTTAGAAAACATCTACAGAAGTGAATGCTACAGAAAATTCACAACAGCAAATTTTAAGAATAGCTGGTTTGAACAATCTGCTCATCCTTGAAAATCACTAYTGAAGTCTTTATTATCACCACAACATCCCAACAGATGTTTGGCAGAAAACACAGGTATGCAAATCTTACTGAAGCTAACCTAGTCATTAGAACATGACACACAATTTGCAAACACCGACCTCAAACAGAAGTACCCTCAAGGTTAATCAGGCTACTTCCCACTGAAATGGAGGTTGTTGTTCTACATAGATAAACCACACATTGGTCTTTCACAGCACAGAAACCTGTTGAAGCATTGTCTTCTAGTGATACATCAGAACTCCACTTCTCACTCCTTCCTCACCCCACACCACCCCACTATCACACACTTTTTGTGTTTTGTTTTTGGGGCCTTTTCTTAAGGAATTCCTGCTTTTCCTGGSATATTTCTTGTTGTTTTTATTTAGACACATTTTAGAACTCTTTTCCTGCCAGCATCAAACAAAATGTGCTTTTCAGCAATGTACTCACAAGACTGTATGCATGCAACATATTCAGAGACACCTACCTGAAACAGAAAATATATCTACYATTTTACATACCCGATTCATATTTAGATTTTTTTTAAATCTCACTCGAATTTAAAAATCTACTTTTCAGTAACTTCTACATGATACTGTCRAAAGCAAAGTAAATCAGTACTACCCAGATTTTCAGGTGCACATGAGGCAGACATATTATTATAATTTAACATAAATACTGTATATCGATCGGTGAGGCAATTGGTAGCCCACAGAAGTTGTGGATTCCCCATCCCTAGCAGTGCTCAAGGCCAGGCAGGATGGAACTCTGATCAACCTGGTCAGGTGAGAGGTGTCCCTGCCCTGTGGCAGGGGATTGGGATTAGATAATCTGTAAGACCAAACCATYGGGTCTGTGATGAGTCTGACATGCAAATACAGAAAAGAAGATTCTGCACACAAAGGAGACAAACCAATCCTGTCTTACTTAGTATGACCCTCAAACTGCCTCAGTGGTGCCTTCCCGCTGATGTCGAAGAGGCGGATGATGCTGTCCTCACTGCCAGCGGCGAGCAGGCGCCCGTCGTCCCTGTACGTGGCACAGTACGCGGCGTCCCGAAAGCGAGAGAARGTCTTGATGGGCTCCTGGGAGTAACGCCCATAAATGTGGATCTGGCAAAACAAGAGGAAATTACGTTTTCTGGTATGATAGCAACTGAAGGACAAGGATGTGAAAGCCTCAGAAAAGCCACTTACCCTCGAGGAGGCTGTGACAGCRTAGTTATACGGTGGGACTGGGGAGAAGTCAATTTTATTTACTGCACCGAATTCCTTTATCTGAACAGGTGTCTAGAACAATTGTGATAAAGATCATTAAATACACACAGGCACATAATCAACTCTCAAAACAGCAAAATAAAAGCTATTCTTTCTATAAAGAGCTCAAAACTCCATTGGAACCAAAAGGTTTTAGAAATACAATAGTACTGAGTTTCACTTCTGTCAGGCTACTCAGGCTCTTGTAACTTTTTTCAAATTCACGCATTACAACTGGCCCATAAATTATGTTTTTTCATGCGTTTTTTAAACTTTAATTTCAGGAAAGCAGTTTAAAAAAAAGCATTCTGGCGCAGCAACAGCAACTGCTGGGCCGCTTCCTACCTTGTATCCCCGCCAGTACAGCGTGTCCTGCGTGATCTTCTCGCCGAGCTTGGGGCACGCCTGCACCACGACCGGCTTGTAGGCGGCCATGGCGCACGGGGCCGCGGCGGGCGGGGCCTCAGGGGAGAGACTCGGGAAGGGCCGATGGGCTCCGGGCACACGGGAGGGGTTCAGGGGAGAGACTCGGGAAGGGCCGATGGGCTCCGGGCACACGG